AGGGAGAGACCAAGTGGATTTAATAAATAAATCAGGTTTTCATTTAATTTTTTGATTCGATTGATTTACTTAAACACCCGTTCTCCCGGCCGAGCCGCGTTAGGGCCACCTACCCCTAACACATTGTATGATTCACCAGGACGTCCTTTGTAAAACTGCAATAGATATTACCCATGTACTTAATGTGGTTTTAAAACTAATTAATACGATTCGATCTCGGGGCTTGGTACACCGACAATTCCAAGAATTTCTGATTGAAGTCGACGCAGATTATTCTGACCTTCTTTACTACACGAAAGTAAGATGGTTAAGTTGTGGATATGCATTTGAACGGGTTTGGAATTTAAAAGAGGAAATACAAGATTTCTTAAAGAATAAAACAGACAAATGGTTTAATTTCCAAATCTTCGAAGACAAAGATTGGCGTATCGATTTTGCATTTTTTACCGATTTGCTTGAACACTATAACAAATTAAACAAAAAATTGCAAGGAACCAATTTATAGATGAAACTTGGGGTTGTCTGAAATCATTTAAAACTCAAATTTTTCTGTTTTATAACTACATGGCAAAGAATGATTTAATTCACTTTCTGCGTTTAAAATCCATGTCACCAGTGAGTGAGAACAAACTAAAAGAATTCAGTCAGGCGTTGAAAAAACTTCACACAGAATTTGAAACTAGGTTTCAAGATTTTAAGAACATTCAATCATCGCTAGATGTTTTCTGGATGCCGTTTAATGTAGATCTGGAAAATGTATCTGCAGAATTGCAGTTGGAAATTGTTGAAATGCAGTGCAGTACACATTTAAAGCAATTGTTCTTGAATTCCACAAAACTAGATTTTTATAGAGCACTGCGGAAAGCTGAATTCCCAAAGATTATTGCTCACGCCCAGAAAATTATGGCGATGTTTGCGTCGTCTTATGTGTGCGAACAGACTTTTTCGACCATGAAATTGCGGAAAAACTCAATCAGAAACCGATTGACTGATGAACACCTTTTCGCACTGCTGAAAGTTGCCTCGTCACAGCTGGAACCTGCTTTCGAAAATATTATGGAAAATCAAAAACAATTCCACATGTCTCACACGCCTACCACGGCAGGGCCTTCGAATAAAAGTTAAATTAATTATTATTTAAGGTAAAAGGTAAATTTAACATTTGTGTATAATGCTGTAATGTTTTTATAATATTATGGTTAAAAGCTTTAACACAAAATGCATTTTTTCTATAATTCTGGCCTTCCTCTAGAATTTCTTAAACTTTGTGGCCCCCCATTAAAAAAGTTTGCCCACCACTGATCTAAAGTGTTAATAGACGAGAATTTTAAAAATATGTCATTATTTCGTTCTTCTTTAATAGCAATACACACAACCTTAGTTTTTCTGGTATCTCCATTGGAGAAAGTTCATTAATTGGCCAATAATTTTCATCTTTAGAAAGCCATACAGGTCCATTCAACCACATTGAATTTTGTAAAAAATGATATGGAGATTGACCCCGTGAAATAAAATCCGCAGGATTATCTGACGAATTTACGTGAAACCTGTTGTGGTAGCATGCGCGAGCGACATCTGGTGACGAGGTGTGCCGTTGAGATGAGACAATGCGGCAGGCAGTTTGGGTCCGATCGTCGCTCGAGCATGCACAAGCCGCATGAATATATCGATATAATTGAATTATCCATTAACTTGCCTGCTCCCGTAGCCTAACATAACAAAACCAATCTTCTGAATCTGTACTTGATTGTATGTCACTCACTCTGTTAGCTACAAAAGTTTTCAGAACATATGGAGATGATTTTATCCAATGCAAAACTATTGTAGAATCTGACCAAAATCTACACTTGTTAAATTGGATATTTACCAAAGAACTTTTTACTTCTTTATACAATTTAACTAATAAACTTGCAGCACATAATTCAAGTCGTGGAAGAAATATTGTTTTAACAGGTGCTACCCGTGATTTAGCACACAAAAGTGACACGTAATGCTTTTTATCTTCATTGCTTGTCCTAAGAAAAATACATGCACCATAAGCTGTTTCACTTGCATCCGCAAAACCATGTAATTGAAAATCAACTGCATTTTCAATAATTACTCTATGTTTTGCATTAAATTTATTTAGCAAATGAAGCTCATTTCGATAAGAAATCCACATCTCGTTTAATTCATATGGAATTGACTCATCCCATTCTATTTTTGCTTTCCATAACTTTTGCATGATTATTTTTGCCTTAACAATTACAGGACCGAGTAAACCAAGCGGATCAAAGAATTGTGCAATCTGTGACAATATTGTGCGTTTGATTATACGAACTTCTGGAGCAAAGGGTTTGATCGTATAAAACAAATTATCTAAGCATGGATTCCAATGAATACCTAACATTTTTTTGTTATCGTTTGTATCTAAACAAATCGCTTTTTGATCCATATTTGTAGTCAGATGTTTAACTAAATTAAAATCATTTGAACTCCATTGACCCAAATTGAGACATCCAACCTTTGCTAAACCAATAATTTCGTCTCTTAATTCTGAAGCTACTTCAAAATTGCATGCTCCCGTTAATAGATCATCCACATAAAAATCTTTTTTAAATGCCTGAGCTCCTAGAGGAAATTCTTTACTTTCATCATCAGCTAATTGCTTTAAACAACATATAGCTAAAAATGGTGCTGAAGCTGTACCATAAGTTACCATATTCAATTTAAAACCTTTAATCGGTTGATCGGGTGAACTACGCCATAAAATCTTCTGATACTGTGTATCTTCTGGATGTAATCTGATTTGCCTATACATTTTTTCAATGTCAGCAGTCAAAACATATCTATGTGAACGAAAACGAATTAATAACGAAAATAAACTATCTTGTATAGTAGGACCTACTAACAGAGTATCATTCAAAGAAACTCCCGTAGAAGTTTTTGCCTATGCATCAAATACAACTCGAATCTTTGTAGTAATACTAGATTCCTTGAAAACACAATAATGTGGCAAATATATCCCTTTATCTACTTCTTCATTTTGTATTACAGACATATGTCCTAAATCTTCATATTCTTCTAGAAATTTTGTATATTGATCCAATAAATTGTTATCTCGAAGAAGTTTGCGTTCTAAACTAAGAAACTGTCTTAATGCAATTTCTCGTGATTGTCCCAATAAATGTCTTTTGTCATTAAAAGGTAATCGTACAACAAATCGACCTGAACTATCTCGATAGGTGTTCTTTGTAAAATGTTCCTCACATATAGTTTCTTCTAATGACAACGGCTTTTTATTAGAAATTTCTTCAACTTCCCAAAATCGACTCAATTGATCATCTAAAGATTGAGTAAAGAAACACGCTGTCTGTTTATTCAAATCTAAGAACTCAACTTCTCCCGTTACAATCCATCCTAATTTTGTTGATTGTAATACAATTTTGTCATTGCATAAATTAATTCTTCCGCTAGTAATTAGTTTATAAAAAACATCACATCCTAATAACAAATCTATTTCAGCAGGCTTATCAAAATCGGGATCAGCTAATTCAATATCGCCTGGAATTTTGATGTTACATTTATGTTGTTGTGGTTATGTTATTGGTTATGTAATGTTACATAATGGTTGCATTTGCTATAAATTTTGACCGAGTTTTAATTTGATCCAATCCTGACAGACATAATTTCAAGTTTTCTTTATCTAATTGCAAACGATCTAATAACTTATCCGTAATAAAATGTGCTTGCGATCCACCATCAAGCAATACTCTGCATGTATGTTCATTATCCCATTTATCCAATATTTTTACACGTGCCGTGCCAAGAAGAATCTCTGAATCATTAGTGACTGTTAAAACGTTTTTAGTTGTCTCATTGTTAACAGGAGTACTATTCGTATCATTAGACGAAACCGTAAGAGATATATTAGATGAACTGCTAGGCGCATTATTCTCCGCTGAATTAGTATTACTAATTGAATTTTCAAAATGTAGTAAAGTATTATGTTTTTGTCCACATTTACGACAATTTTTACTAGAACAACTGTACGAAGTATGATTGTTTCTAAAACATTTGAGATATAATCTTCTCTTTCGTACCTCGTCGAATCTTTCGCGCACCTGCATTTTTAAAAATTGCGAACAATTGTATAATTCATGAGGCTCATTACAAATGAAACAATTAGATTTTACAGTAGTAGCCATATAATTCTGAACTCGTTTATTAGGTTTAGGACGTATACGTTTGTCTTGTATACTACTATATGTTGAATCATCAACATCGTCACCACGTGCCTGTTTATTAATAAACTCAATTAATTTTTCAAATGTAGGCATCTCATCGTTTTCAAGCGTACGTTCCCAAGCTCGTCTCGTATTCTTATCCAATTTTCTAACAATTAAATAAATCAAAATAGCATCCCAATGTTCTACCGGTTGTTTCGCAACCCTAAGAGCGTTAACATGCATTTGAGCCTGTTGAGCGATTGTACGCAAATTTGAAGCAGAATCACGATTAATTTCTGGTAATTCTAAAAGCAACTTCAAATGAGATTGAATTATCAATCTTGGTTTGTTACATCGTTTTTGCAACAAATCCCAAGCAACTATATAATTCTGTTCTGACGCATTTAATGTGGAGATTATACACGCAA